CGAGGGAAAGAGTTCAAATTGCACGTCCATTTATAAATGTTGGAGTTGATTTTGGTGGTCCGTTTCCCATCAAGACCTCTAAACTCAAGAGAGCTCCCCTTACTAAGGCCTATATGGCAGTGTTTGTATGTTTAGCTACTCGCGCCGTGCATGTGGAATTAATTTCCAGTCTTTCTACTGAAGCGTTCTTATTGACTCTGAAAAGGTTTATCGCCCGAAGGGGTAATCCGAATATCATTTTCAGCGATAATGGCACAAACTTTCTAGGTGCGAAAAACCAATTGAAAGAACTTTATGAGTTGCTTCTTAAAGGTGATACCTCTGAATCTATTCGCTCTTTCGCTACTTCGTGTCAAATTCAATGGAAGTTTATCCCTCCACGCTCACCACACCACGGTGGTATTTGGGAAGCTGCCATAAAGAGCTTCAAATACCATCTCGTAAGAATAATGGGTAACTCCAATTTTACTTTCGAAGAACTATCCACTGTACTTTCGCAGATCGAGGCAGTGCTCAATTCACGCCCTATCTGTGCGCTCTCAGATGACCCTTCCGATTTTTCCTTTCTTACTCCCGGACACTTCCTTATTGGATCTAATTTAATGTCTTATCCTGAATCAGATCTTTCTGATATTCAAGAAAATAAATTGTCTTTGTGGAATAAATGCACAAGAATTCAGCAGCATATGTGGAAGGTTTGGACCCGCGATTATCTTAATAGGCTGCAAAATAGACCTAAATGGTTCACTCCTCAGGTAGGCATAAAGCCTGGTGATCTCGTCTTGCTTAAGGACGAAAACTCGCCTCCTCTCAAATGGCCTATAGCACGGGTAGTTGAGACATATCCGGGAAAGGACAACAAGGTAAGAGTTGTTAAGGTCAGAACTCCTGAAGGCTTATATGTTCGCTCTATTGCTAAACTGTGTCCTCTTCCTATGACTCACCTTCAAGAATATTAATAGTTTGTTAGTTTTAGTTATACCTTTCTTCAAATTGTACATAAACATTTTTTTTTTTTCTTTTGATGCGTTCACATCAAGGGGGGGACTATGTTGCATATCGCAACCTAAAAAATTCATAGGTCGAATTGCCGATAATGCAAGACAGATGCTGTTTCTATTTGCTGCACATAATTGCGAGAAATTCCCTTCTTAACCTTTATGACGTCGACAACAGTCATTCTATAATTTCTGACATTACTCTAATATTTGTCAATTTTAATAACTCTCTAATATTTGTCACTTTTAAAATAAATCGTTCATTTTCTCCACAAAAGATTTTGTGTTATATAAAAAAAAAATATAGTTTTAATTATTAAGTGTAATTTAAAGTAATTACGAGAGTGTGATCGCCAAAATATAAGGTAACCAATTTTATTTTATTATAACTACATAGAACCAAAATCGAAGGTACTGCTTCAATAAGCAGTTAGCAACATATTCAGGGGGAGAAATAAAATCCCCCTATGTTCTTCAATTAGTGTAAGATACAAAAAAGAATATTCGGTAATTTGTACTAATTTTGTTTGTTGTAGCACCTTAATGATGCAAATATAGATTTGCGAAAGCTTGGAACTAAAAAGAGTCCTGTCTTCCTCTGCATACTTCTATGTATCTATGTATCGGAAACTTCTTACACGATAATAATGAAAAATTATTGGTTTATGGGGATTACGTTATGACCAACTTTTTGAAAATATTTTGACAGGCTTGTCACTTCCGGTTATACCGGAAGTGAACAGCAAATGTTATTTTAAATGGAACACTTTGTATATTATTGTATTTTTCGATTCTTCATAACAATCTGGATAAAATTTGTATAAGGTACCATATGTCAAAACTTCATATTTTTTGAGTTATACAATTTTTTGAATAATTTTGACAGATAGAGACAAACTTTCAAACAAACAAAATATCTTGAAAAATGTTGCACACAAAGAATATGGGTTACGTTCTTTCAGAACTTTAAATCTAAATCAAATTTTTAAATACAGAGTGTTCACATATGATACATCTTTAAACTTCAAACCATAGTAAGTCTACTTTATTATTTTAATAAAAAAAGAAATCAGTTGTGTTTCAAATAGTATTATGGTTCCCTATACCTAAAGTTAATCCTTTTAAAGATTATTGTAGTTTATTGTTGTAATGTGAAGAAGCTAAGATAAGATATTTATTTTTTTATTCTAGCAGGCCGTGTACGAATATGTCATAATTGTCATTATTTTTGATTATTGGCATTTTTGCAAAGTGATATAAATGGCTGGTTTAGAATTAAACAATGAAGAATGAGTAAATTTAATTTTAATATGTGGAGAATGCGACAGTTATTCCTAGAACATGTGCTTAAAAGCAAAATTTAACACATATTGGTTGTTTCCAATAAAAAGTTAACAAAGCGAAACCTATTGTTGATAATAATGATCATACAATTAATGTTCGTGGTTATTATGCTGCTTATTGCGAAGCGTCACTACAATGCTAAGTTTAAAGGAAACATACTATATTAAAAAAATAGAATTTATAACGATAAAACGTCAAGAAGATACTTATTAATTTTCTTTAGAATATTATATGGTGCATCGAATTAGAATCGGTGGTCTGACTAATCAAAATTTATAAAAAACGAAATATCTAATAGGCAAAATTCGCATTAACTGAAGCGAAGTAAATTAACATTTAACGTGGTTTTCAGGAGCAATGGAAGTTTAATGTCTTTTGTGCGATCAGAGACAACCAGGTTGTAGCTCTCCACTTTTATGATGGTAACTCAAAACACATTTTTTTATTTGAATGATATCTCAATATATTTAAAGTAAATTAATACAATCTTCATTGTTTAATTCTAAACGAGCCCTTTCTATAACTTTGTAAAAGAGCCGATAATCACAAATAAAGGCAATTATGACATCTTCATACACGGCCTGCTAGAATAGAACAAGAAATATCTGACCTTTAACAGTAAATCACAATTATCTACAAAATATTAACTTTGTGTGGGCAACCGTATATTTGAAAGACAATTAATTTCTTTTTTAATTAAAATACAGGGTATTTCGTTTAAAATTATTTACCTACTGTATTTTGAAGTTTAACGAAATGGCACTAATTGTATGATCATTATTATCAACAATAACTTTTTGTTAAAAACAATCAACATGTGTTAAATTTTTAAGTAATCTCTTCACAGTGTCACGGGCAGTTCGAGAACGATCTATATATCTTTTAGCAAATAAAGTACATATTCTAGTCTGTCACATTTTCCACATATTAACAGTAAATTTAGGCATTCTTCATTGTTCCACTTTGTTCCACTCCAATTCTAAACCAGCCATTTCTATCACGTTGCAAAAGTGCCAATTAAACCACAATTATCTTTAAAAGTATTAACTTTAGGTATAGGGAACCATAATACTATTTGAAAGACAACTGATTTTATTTTTTATTAAAATTAAAAAATGCAGGTTGTTTCATTTAAAATTATTGACTTACTATGGCTTGAAGTTTGAAGTTTAAAGAAATGGCGTATCATTGTGAATACACTGTATTTAGAAATTGGATTTTTATATAAATTCCTAAAAACGTTACCCACTCTTTATGTGAAAAGGTTTTTAAGACATTACGATTGTAAATGTATAAGACATTATCTTTCAAAAGGTTATCTCTCTGTCAAACATTTTTTAAAAAATATAAATAACTCAAAAATGTGAAGTTTTGAAATATGGTACCTTTTACAAATATTATTTAGTATCTTATGTAGAATCTAAAAACGCCATAATATACAGGGCGTTCCATTTAAAATAACGTAGCTACCGTTTACTTCCGGAGTAACCGGAAGTGTAATGTCTGTTTTTTAAGTTCGTGATATCTTTTATTTCCCATAAATCAATTTTCATAAATATCGTGTAAGTAGTTTCCGATATATAGATAGTGTAAGTTCGTCGTGAAACACCCTGTATTACTTTCCCGTATTTCATTTCAACGTGTTTCCTTTTAATTATTTTTCCTTATTGTTATTTTATGATCAGTACATTATATATCAGTACATATGTTATTTTATGATTGTAAGTGGTACATATTCAGTAACACTGAAATTTTTTGGACTGATACAAACCTATTACACGAAATTACAAACCTTAAGAAGTTTTGGAAATTGTAAGCATTTTATTTCATCTTTATTGATGCGGCACTTAAATTTAAATGACAGGTGATATCATGCATATCCTTAACAAAAATGATTGTTTTTTAATACAATGTATATAACAAACTTTTGCTACATTCTTCTTTCTATAAATATAATTTGTAATCAGAATACAAATGTTCTGGGAGTATATCCCAGCAGTAAATAACACACAATAATGGAAAACATGAAGTTACGTTTTTCATCAATTGAAAAAAGTATTTTATGACAATTTTGTTAAATATATGCAGTAAATATTTTATGGATTTTAATAGTGTGTGGAACTAAAAAACGTATAAATATCATCATTCTTAAAAAAAATAATAAAAGGGGTCGATTCTTTTAATCTCGATCTCATATCAATACGCAAAATAATAGACATAAAGTTAATATAAATAAAAAAATTGAAGATTCTACACGTTAATGTTTTTTTATATGTAAATTTTTTCTAGATTTCCAATAACGATATTAAACTTTCATTAACTTAACACTTACGAGTTCTGTATGAAATAACAGAACAACTGCGTGTTACTACTCATTTAAGATTAATGTTAATGGGGACTAAAATCCTCTTAATGGTACGTTACTTAAGCATATAGCTAAAATTTACACCTGAAACAATACTGTTTGCCTTAATAATGATAATAAAACTTTTTGTATTACTACGATTTACATAGCTGCAAATTTCTTAGATGCACACACTAATAAAATCATAATAGAAATATGTTAAAGAAAAAGCTTAAAAGTAATGTTAGAGCTTCATGCAATAGGGTAAAAAAGCAAACAAATACCTTGCAAAACAAAAACCACAGCAAGCATATTTACACATTAACAAAATTGACCCAAGCTCCCCCAGTCTGAGCGTTATTCGTATCCGCTACATCGGGCTTAGCTTCAACCCTCTCTACATTAGTTTCATCATTAAATAAATTATCAGAACTGGTATTGGCCGCACTCGATTCGTCTTTGAAGTTATCAGAAAACTGTTCACTTAGTTCCAGTAGATCAGAACCAGATTTGTTTATCATTTGCGTGAAGAAATGGTCTGGTCTTTTGCTATAGTCGTTGTTGTCGTTAAAGAGATCCGGTTTTTTTCCGAAAAAGTTTTCTGTCTGTTGGTCGTATTCGTCGCCATCGTCAAAGAACATGTTGGCAGTTCCTGGTCCGTCTATATTTTGTCGAATATCTATATTCGGATAGAATGGGGATTTATGCTTAAAGTTTGATTCCCTGCTATCATTTCCGAAGTTGTTATTTAACCACATATTCGTGTTTAGTTCCCTCAGTTGGTTACCACTATTCGCCTCAAAGAGATTGTCTTGTTTCAGGTTAAGTAAGCTGCTGAATCTCTGTTTCATTTCATGTTCTATCACTGAGTTTCGGTACTCATTTTCCAATCTTCTTCGCAGATCTAGTTCATTGTGCGTTATATCAGATACGACACCATAATTCTGTAGCAAAATGACATCTGGAAGTCCATAGTATGGATGGGTTTCAACTTCTGCTACATTTTGTGCATAGTTTATACGCCTTTGAAGCGAACCAAAGTAGGGATTATGATGCAGATGAGGTAGTTCTGATAATTGCATGACTGAGGTAATGTGAGAGGGTATGTTTTGTGAAGGCCAGGGAAGATTATATGGCAGCTGACAGCTAAAATGAGTGAGAAAAAAGAATAAGGGATATGTTGCAAGGGGTTAACTATAACTAGTGATTTTTGGATCATTTTGCCTATAAAATTTTACAAATATTTTATTAATTATTCTTTAAGTCTAAGAAATAACACATATGTATTTACATTGCATATATGACATATTTCCTCTGCCAAATCTTTATATTAATTTTGGCGTCATTAATTTGGTAATTGATTTTGCTTATTATTTTTCTCTTGATTCAACACTTTTCTTCTCTGAAAAGCAAACTATACAATTATTTTTATTTCTTGGATATTATACAAAATATAAATTTTTACAAATGCCTTTCTTCTTCTTTGCTTCTTCCCCTGACGGTATATTATTAAGAAAGTGTCTTTTCATCATTTATATCTTTCCAAGTTTAAAACTTCTGTTCCGTTTAATTTCCATCTTGATTTAAATTTAATTTTTTAATTGTCACTTATTTAATTTTTAATTATACTCATATATGTAGAATACAAATATACAGCGCTGCAATACAGTTGCGTTCTCCCAGTGCGACAGAGAAAAGTGTTGCAAAGCAGTCCCTGCATATCTTTCCAATTTGCCAGGTTTATCGACCACGTGGTCGATAAACCCGGCCTGTTAAAAAGAGATGCAGGGCCTACTTTGTGTCAGTTTTCGACTTACCCATAGACATTAAATACAAACAGACTGATCGCTGCTATTAGCGTTCCCTCAGTGCAACAGAGAAAACTGAGGTAAAGCAGTCCCTGCATCTATGGCTAATGGGTCAGGTTTATCGACCATGTGACCTACTCATTGGCTATGTATGCCACGTGATCAAAAAATCCGGCCCATTAGAAAGAGATGCAGAGCACTGCAGGGACTGCTTTGGGTGAGTTTTCCCTGTCGAACTGGGGGAATGACGTTATATTGCAACGCAACGCAACCTAATCTTATGTGTTTAAGTCAGTTTAATTACTTATATTATTATAACGTGCATTTAAAGCATCCAATAAAACACATTTGACAAGATTTTTAGGCATTTCCGCTACTCAAGACTTTTCATGATTCAATGTTCAAAAACAAGGTACATACAACCATTTTCGTTTATATAATACTAAACTTATGATTAATTCTTAGACTGAATTGTAAAGTTTTTATTATTTTAATTATAAAAAAATTACTACTTTACCAAAATGTATCCAAAATACCGTAAAATTAGTATGTGTAAGGTGACAACAAAATACGAAGTAAAAGAGCGTACTGAAGTACAAATAAAAATAAATATTGTGCCATATCTAATGCACAAACTTTAGCGACATCTATTAAGCTTTACTCTAACTTTTTAACTCACAAAAAATTGATTGCTTTATAATATTGTTATTTACAATAGTACAAGATGAAAATTCGTTTTTAATAAATATAAATACTTAAGTGGTCTGTAATGCTAGCGGTCAATGCTATTGAGAGTGTGGTGCAAGAACAAATAGTACAATAATTTTGTCTGGTAACCTACAGGACTCAGTTTTATTGCGAAATATCATTAAATGGTTACTCTTCTACAGTCGATATACCGAGGACAAAAATTACACCAGAAGTTTATGGTTTAAAAAAGAAATCTGTTAAAGAAATTAAAAATAATAAGGCAGTGGGTGACTTGCCTTTATTTTTATAACAGTTATCTATCGAAAGTGGAGATACCTATATCTTAATGAAAGTTATAACTAGCAAGAAGAGATATAAAATCTCTAAAAAACAGCGACTCCGTGTTCAATAGTACACCGGTAGTACTAGACAGTCGTAAAAGCACACACTTCTTTTTTTTTTGTTAGCAAAATTCGTACTATACATAACGAAGAAAACAGAAATATAAGGAAAATCCTGTCTACACAATTAATACTAAACCGAAAGATTGTAATGCGAGAATGGATATCAAGTAATTTCTCAAATTATTAACAAATAAGTTTTGATTTTTTTACAGTTCTGCATAATAGGCCTGATCATCTCTTCCCAATTCAAAGTTATTACATTGAAACAGTATGAGATATATAATTGGCACCACAAAACTTGTCCATGGTACTATGATTTTCTCGGTGGAGTGCCAGTATTGGTAAATTTTAATAAAGTGAGACTTTCAAATGAATGATAGAAGTTAACCTAATCTTAATCCATTGTAATGGCGGCACCACACTTCGCTATGTGTTATTTGTTATGCGGCTTCGTTGTATTCGCCTAAATATTTCGTTATTCGTCAGCGAATAACAAATAGCCTCCACACTTGTGCCGGCGGGACAAACATTCCAAACCTTTGCGTCATGCGTGTTTGGCAGAAACAAAACCGATGTGCGCGTGTTGATGGTCGCAGCATTTTTACGTACATCCAGAAATCTCATCTCATTCCCTTTTCATTTTCATTTGTCCACTCCCTTTCACAGTAGGTACACCACAAATCAAAGCGTAATAAGTACGATACTTATATAGAAACGCACAAATTTGTCGAATTAATGGTTCAAGAACAACGAGAACTAGAATAAAGTTATGTTAAGATACCATCAAGACAACCACCGGTGCGAACGAAGTGTGAGCAACCGACACATACATTCGGCTTATTCGGGTCCTTTAAAGTGTTTCAAAAAACAGACAAGTGGACGGGTAGGCGTATTTGCTATTCGGGTATTTGCTGCGCCATATTCGGCCGAATATGCCGCACAACGAATAACACATATCGAAGTGTGGTGCCGCGATAAGCAAATCAGGGCAGGCAGTTTAGTTTATTCAAGGAAAAATTCTTAGAGAGGTTAATTATTTTTAAAAGTAAAAAAAATAAGAAACATAATCATATGCAATGCGTCGTGTCAATAGAACAAATGCAAAGATAGATGAAAGAGAAGATCTAAAAAGGCATATTTAAAATAACAGCTATCAGTTTTTGTGGGTTTACATATATCTACTTTCCAAATAATTCGTATGAATATTTTGAAAACTTACCGATTCTGAGCAATTTTTCTTAGGGTATCGGGGACTCGAATTAATTTATCTAAAGTTTTTACAATCGACTGGAAAGTAGGCCTGTGTGTCCTCTCTTTCTGCCAACAGTCTAACATTAATTGGTAAATAGCCTCCGGGCAATCCATCGGCGCTGGCAATCTAAAAACAAATTATACAAAACATGTGAATGCATTATTCATTATTAATGATAATTAGTAGTAAACAGTAATACAAAGCTTATTGTTTGAATTTTAAGACAAAACTAAATATATCCTAAAAAGATATATACATCAACGCTTCTTGAATTATCGAGAAATATTCATCTCCTAATTTGTTTTTTCTGGGAGAAAAAATAAGTAATCACATAAATCATTGGTTTGTGGGGAATAACTAGTCTTTAAGGGTTGGTCTGGTTAGTTGGAGAATAACTAGTTTTAAATAATTAGCCCAAATTCTAAAGAGAAAAAAGATAGACCATAGGGACTTACGAATAATAACAAACCTCTACTGGAATCAAAGAGCACAAATCGTAATAGATAACGAACCCACTCCAGAAATTGAAATCAGGAGAGGAGTTAGGCAGGGATGTATTATGTCCCCATTACTATTTAATGTATATAGTGAAGCTATTTTTAAAGAAGCATTACTATCTCAAAATGAAGGAATAATAATTAACGAAAGATCTATTAACAACAAAAGAGATGCAGACACCGTGATTATGGCAAGCTCTACTGAACAACTCCAATTACTTAAACAAAACAAACAGTTTCTGTGAAAAATATGGACTAAAAATGAATATAAAAAAGACCAAATACATGTTAATAACAAAGAAAACAAATATACCAACAAACATATATTTGGGAAATGTACCGATAGAAAGGGTTGATAAATACAAATACCTAGGAACCTGGATTTCAGACAATAATGATTAAACCACCAAAATAAGAGCTAGGATAGAAATAGTAATAAAATGCGTTTGTAAAAATGAAAATAATTCTCTGCAACAAAGATCTTAGATTAGTACTGAGAGTAAGCGCACTGAGATGCTACGTGTTTTCGATACTGCAATATGGACTTGAAAACTGGACATTGAAGTAAGAACACATAAATAAGTTACAATAATAAAAATAAGAAAGTTCCAATATCTGGAACACGTAATGAGGGGACAGCGATATGAACTGCTAGGGCTGATAATACAGGGAAATATAAGAGGAGAAAGGAGTATAGGAAGAGGGAGAGTGTCATGGTTGGAGAATTTAAGAGACAGGTTTAAATGCAGTTTTATAGAACTCTTCAAAGCAGCAGTAGATAAGGATAGTGATGATGATATCCAACCTCCGATTGGGAGACGGCGCTTAAAGAAGAAGAATGGTTGGTCATCCTCGGTTCTATGTTCTATGAACATTTCTGCCAAACAGATGATGGTCTTATTGTAAAGTAAATGGAAATGGTGGTTAAAATAAGGCTTGAAGATATTACATCATTCTAGTATATTATTGCCATATTTAACTGGAATTAACCATAATTTTAATTAAAATATTTTATATCTGACGTTTCGATTTTCATTTCGTTGGAAATACTCATACATGACAGGAACTAACATAAACACTTTTAAGAACAGTTTCCGTAATGGAAATTAAAATATCAAATATAACGCATAATTAAAATTACGGTTCATTCGGAACTACATAGTATATTATGAAGAGCAGTATCAGTCTTCAAAAATTCATCCTGGTGTGAAAGAAGACCAAAATGATCACACAATAGGTGGTTGTAAACTGATTTTGTTTACAACCTTGTAATTGTCAAAATAGAATATTTCCTTTTGTTTTATTAAATTCACTAAAAAAATGGGACAAAAAGAGGTAGCCCAGAAAATGACTCACAAATGAGTAACTCTTCTGAATCTATCCATCAAAATGTACGCGAAAACAGAAGAGAGACTCGCTGACCCTCAATGACCCAAATATGTCTTAATTACTTCAATTATTGTTCTACAGGCGAACCTTCAGCACCGAATAAGACAGCTTCAGCAGAACTTACTGTTTCTAGGAAAGGGTTCGATATCACCTTGATACTAGGGCTTGTGTAATAGTTACTGGAAGATATACAATAAGCTAATTGGCAGCAACAAAAAGAGCAAAATTAATTATGGAGAAGTTACGGCAGTGGCGGATCTAGACATTTGCTTTGGGAGGGGAACTTTCAAAGAAATACCAACCAAAATACATATAAAAGATAAACCCAAACTACATAAAAAGACATAAATAATAGGTTTTCTTTAATTTTGGACCTTCTTGGAGAGGAAGGGGGCAAATTTCTCTTTTTTCGCCCACCGTGTATCCACCCATAAAGCACTCGCCAAAAATCATTAAAAATATAAAAATAAGTAAACATTATTTTGAAGCACCGCGATTTTCAGAATTCTTTTCCTATTCAGGAAAATCACTTGTTACCGATTATATCCCTTTAGATTTATTGGCTAAATTTAAAGTATACATAAACGACCATGTTTACCTATATCCTTTTTCGATGCTTTTAATGACATCTTGATTCGACCAGTTCCAGTACGGCCGTTCTCCATAAGACATTACCTCCCAACACACTATGCCCATTGACCACACATCACTTGCGGAAGTAAACTTACGGAAGGCGATGGCTTCTGGGGCTGTCCATCGCACCGGAATTTTTCCTCCCTAAAATAATTAAATCAAGTTAAAATTGGACCTAAAACGTTTAAATAAAAATCAATAAATTAAATTTTACTGTCAACCTTTTCAAACTAGTGTACCTCGTAGCCTATACAGGGTGGTCCTTAAGTAATTGTACAAAAAGAAACCGTAGATTCTACACTTTAAAATATTACGATTTAAGTCAAGTTGCTTTAATAAAATGTTAATATTAAGAAAGATACAGGGTGTTAAAGTGGAATTTTAAAATTTTATTTTTTGCTATAACTTTTATGTTTGTCAATATTTATGTATAAAAATTTACAACTGGTTAGTATTAAATATCAGAAATTTTAATTTGATGTATACTTTGATGTATCTGATAGAGGGCGCTACATATGCCACATACGTGGCATATATTTGCACTTAACTTTTTTGCTCCTCAAGTTATGGGTATTTTTATTAAAAAATATTAAAGATACATTATTTTAACAAAAAAAAGGTATACTTCTTAATATCCTTAAAACTCAACAGTTTTCGAGATAATCGCATTTTAGAAATCAACTACATAATTCTGATTTATCTCAATTACTCCAGACAACGAAAGAAAATTAAAGAAAAACATCAATACTTCTGAATTTTGGTATAAAATACCTTTAATAAAGTTAATAGTTAACGAATTATTAAATAAAATAAATATATCAGCAGGATAAAATAACAGGATTTGATAAATAACAGAATAATTGGATTTTACATTAAACATTTTACGTTTTGTATAAAATTAAAGGCATAATCAAAACATTTAATTTACAAACCAAATTAAGAAATAGTTAAACTAAATAACGTTGAACTTTTTGTCAAAGTAAGTGTTCAATATGTCTACCATTTTCTTTAATTCATTTGTCAATACATTCCATAAAATATCGTCTCATATTAAATAGCATCATTGGTTCTAAAGAAACTGCTGCAGTATTTATTATAAGTGTTATACGTATAATAATAAGAAATTTTTACGAATTAAATAATTATATTAATATCTCACCACAAGAATATGACTAACACGAACAATCCAAAGTTCAGGAAAGTTGTTTTTAAACACTGTCTCACTCCAGTTTCTCTGTAACGTAATGGTGTACCATCTTGTAGAAACCACATATTTCGCCCTAAGTTTGATGACAATTCTTTGAATAAATCAATAAAATAATTTTATAAAAAATGTAAATAAATTTCGACATTCAAATTGCAAAGTAATTCGCATATCCGTAAAAAATAATTACCAATGATTCCAAACCATAGGACATGCATTTTAAATATGAATTTTGAATGGTATTTTATAGATATGCGAATTACCTTGCAATTTGGATGGTTAGATTTATTTAGATTTTTATAAAATGATTTTATTGATTTATTGGAAGAATTGTCATCAAACATAAGGCTAAATATTTGGTTTATGCAAGATGGTATACCAATACATTACAGAGAAGGGGGAGTGAGAGTATTTAAAAAAAACTTTCCTGGACGTTGGATTGTTCATGATAGTCATATTCCTTGATTATGTGGTAAGATATTAATATAATTATTTAATTCAGAAAAATCCCAAAAGAATACCTATTGTTATACTTATAATAAGTACTGCAGCTGTTTCTTTAGAACCAATGATGCTATTTAATATGAGACAATATTTTATAGAATGTATTAACAAATGAATTAAAGAAAATGGTGGACATACCGAACACTTACTTTGACAAAAAGTTTAATGTATTTAGTTTAACAATTTCTTAATTTGGTTTGTAAATAAAATGTTTTGATTATGACTTTAATTTAATACAAAACGTAAAATGTTTGATGTAAAATCCAATTATTCTGTTATTTTATCGAATTCTATTATTAATTATCCTGCTGATATATTTATTTTATTTATTATTTCGTTAACTATTAACTTTATTAAAGGAATTTTATAACAAAATTTAGAAGTATTGATGTTTTTATCTATTTTTCTTTCATTGCCTGGAGTAATTGCGTTAAATCAGAATTATGCAATTGATTTGTAAAACGCGATTATCTCGAAAACTGTTAAGTTTTAAAGTTATTAACAAGTATACCTTTTCTTTGTTTAAATAATGTATCTTTAATATTTTTTATCAAAAATACCGCTAACTTGAAGAACAAAAAAGTTAAGTGCAAATGTATGCCACATATGTGGTATATGTGGCGCCCTCTATCGGCTATATCAAAGGATGCATCAAATTATAATTCCTAATATTAAATAGTACCCAGTTGTAAATTTTTATACATAAATGTTTACAAACATGAAAGTTATAGCGAAAAATAAAATTTTAAATTTCCACTTTAACACCCTGTATCTTTTTTAATATCAACATTTTATAAAAGCAAGTTGACTTTAATCGTAATATTTTAAAGCGTAGAATCTGCGGTTTCTTTTTGTACAATTACTTAAGGACCACCCTGTATAAAGATTATATAGGAGATTTAACATTCGTATTAGAAATAATTCATAATTTACATAATTTGAAATATTGGAAGATATAAAAATTACATACAGCAAGTAAACCAATTTCTAAGATAGACCAGTTATTTTGTAATCATAGAATATTATGAACACACTTTTATATAATCAATGATCGGAATGGATTGGAAAGAAACATCGGTAATAGAAATAATTCCCGTGAAGTTAGAGCGTTAGAATATGACAACATATACATTATAACTCAAATTTGGAGTATACATATCATTTAAAAAAGTTTAAAAATAGTTGTAAAAATAAATATAACTTACCCTTGTTGTGTAAGCTCCTTCAGTGGCACTTTCAATTTCTCGGCTGAGACCGAAATCTGCTATTTTACAAACTAACTGCGAATTTACCAACACGTTTCTTGCTGCTAAATCTCGATGTACATAATTCATTTCACTTAAGTACTGCATACCCGATGCGATACCCCTTAACATACCCGTCAGCTGAATCACTTGGAATTTTCCGTCGTTTGCCTAAAAGAGAAATGAATTTATTACATAATAAAGGTATTTAATAAATAACAAAATATATTTGTACAAAGATTAATATTATTCAGATTTATTATTAATAAAAGATTTTTTACAAACAACGACTTACCCGTAGGAAAGTATCAAGTGATCCATTTTCCATATATTCTGTGATAATCATGACAGGATTCGACTTTGTAACTACACCTTGTAAAAAGATAACGTTTGGATGTTCAAATTGTCCCATTATTGACGCTTCTGTAAGGAAATCGTTACGGGATTTGTCCAAGGACCCAGCTTTTAGGGTTTTTATTGCTACGTCAATATCGACTCCGTTCATTTTTAGTTTTCCTCGACACACATCACCAAATTCTCCTCCTCCTAAAAAGATAATTATTTTATGAAGTAAAGATGTTACATATGTCAATATGTTACAAACAGGTTAGTTTAGGTTAGAAGTAATATATTTTTATATACTTCTTGAAGTCATGTCAGTGTCTGCTTGCTTATTTATGCGATAACTCTTGAAGAAAAGTCTTGAAACTTGGTATATATTTTTTATCTCGGGGCATGTACATCTACTTTAAACCAGCTGTTTTTAATACTATCTACCCATCTCATCTGTTTAGTCTTCCTCTTTTTTGCTTATATGTCCATGGTATCGTATAAATCTCATTATTTACTGACAAAAAAAGTTTTTATAGTTTATATCTTACCTATAATGGCTTCGATTGTAATACAACTAGCATCTATTTCTCTGGCAAATTCTCTTACTGCTTGGTTGGGATCTTCATATGTATGAGGATCTATATAGGTTCTTGAAGAACCACTTATTCCAGTAAAGAGAGGCGTTGTCACTATAATAAATACATGACTATAATTAGAATATGGAATATATATATATATATATATATATATATATATATATATATACTAGTATAAAGAAAAAAATTAAAATAAGATTTACGAATATAATATACAACCAGAAACTACAAAAATCATAATGGTTAAATTAGTGAACAATAACTAAACTGAATATAAGCGTGGCATTGGGTATGACAAGAATAAAACCATTGACTATTTGATGCGGGTTTAATACAGCTCATTTTTACTTAGATGTTCGGAATCTACGTTAAATTGTAAGTCCCGCATATCTGTCTACACTTGATGATAGACAAAACAGGTACATGTAGAGAAACCTCCTACATCTAATTGGGTTCTTGCTTTTATCCCTATATGGGCCGGCTTCCCAAATTACATTTCTCCGTTTATATCTTGGGTTATATCAATATCAATCCCCTTTTACCGGCATGTCTTTCCTGAGCGTTTGCCCCAAGTCTTTGGTTTTCCTCACCTAGTCCTTTATGAATCTAGCGATTCTTCATATTGGATAATTAATTATGAGTCTCGATTTTAATCACGTCCAAATGATCTTAACCTGTGCTCTACTATTTTGGCATCAATTGGTGCAACTTCTAGACTTTCACTAATATACTCATTCTTAATTTTATACTTTTTTGCCATTCCACTCATCCAACTAAGCATTCTCATTTCCATCACATGAATTCGTTATTCCGCTTTCTTTTTAACTGCCCAACATTCAGTTCCATACATTATGGCTAAGGTCTTGTGGCGGTTTGAAGTCCCACACCTGTCCTAACATTTACTGGCCGCTTCCCCACCCTCTCAGTTTGAGTCCTTACAGCTAGCTGTTCGGTTTGTCCTACTGTAAACACTTACAAGTTCATTCTGGTCTTCTCTTTGTATAGTTCCTACGTAACTTGAAGTGCAATATGAGATTAAAACGTAAATGAGTTGTGGTGTCTTTAGTAAATGAGTTGTGATGTAACAATAAAACACTGAAACGTTTGTTTTCAAACTTCCACAAAATTTATTTTAACTATTATCACTACAGCTGTTTCGGTTGATAGCCTTTCTCAAGTGATCTATTTTTGGCTTGGGTTTACAAATTTATAGTCTCTAATGAAATAGGTTGAGGAGGGGAGAACTGTTTGTCTCAGGTTGGTCATTCAGAATTATATCTGTGTTTTTTAATTTGTTGATTTCCATAGATTCTAACAAAGTAACAAAGAGTTGTGATGTCTTTAGAAACAAAATTAAGTGCTATAAAACGCTTGGATAAGGGTGAGTCAGTAAAGAAGATTACTGATGACCTAAAGTGTTAGAGAAGTGACCGTGGGAGATTGTAGACGTAAACGAAAATATATTGAACAATGCGTTAATACAAGTGTGAGTGGTGAAAGTGATTTGTTGCGGAAAAATATGAAGAAAGGAGAATAAAAACAGACTTCTGAAGCCTTATTTTTATTGTTTTCTAATCTTAGAGGGTTGGGATGTCCAATTAGTAGCATCATGCTTCAAGCTAATGCTGTGGAGTTTCACGAACGGTCGAGCCACAGTTGCGCATTGGCGCAATATCGCAGAGCCAAAACGAGGCCAGAAGTTGACGCAGAAATCTATCAAAGACGTTTTTAAAACATGAAGAGGTTTCAGTAAGTAAAGGTTTACCTATCTATATATGGCGGCAGTGGTGTACCCAGGGGGTTTTAGGGGTTAAACCCGTCCCCTCAGGGCATATAAACATTATAAAGAATAGGATATATATATATATATATATATATATATATATATATATATATATATGTATATATATATATATATATAAATTCTTCTGAGATTATTCTATAATTTCGCTCGTTTTTACTACTTTTAATACATTAGTTCATTTCTCTATCACCAATTATACCAACTCCATTCCTGGTTTTATTCTACATGTAATATATACGTATCCTTCAAAGGTCAGTAATTTATACTCTCCTTCTTTTAAGCGAATCTACCAATTTCACACGCTTGCATATTTTTGGTTATTATAACCTGAAAGATTTTTGGACACTTGTTGCCTGAATGCTTTTTCTATCAGGATCATGTCCTGCACGATTTGACCAACACACCACCAATGCAACCAAAGAGCAGTATTGCCCCATACCCGTTTTTTTTCTGAACTATTTCTATTCTATATTTCTATTTTTCTGTACAGGCAGCACTGTAAGGGATGCCCAGTAAGTCAGTATATTGTGTCCGTATCCCGTTACTAGGAGGCACGTACTTTATATGGGATACCATGTATATTATTATATACCAAATATATTATTATGGGATATTTATGATTAAGATCGACAAACAATATATTGTAACGGGATGAGTTTGAAAATAACACTACTCATAAAATGTTGCGTCACGACTTATCTAGCTAACATTTCATTGCCCATTTTTATAGCAGGGCGCAGAAATATAGTGACTTTGAAGAGTTAAACTTACTAATTTTGAAGTTTGCCTACCAATTCGCTGTACAGTTTTATTGGGATCATTGGGATCAAAATTTAAAACTATCGATGTTTGAACCGAATGTTTAACAGAATTAGAAAAATAATTATCGATAACTTTGTCGCTGAAAACTTGGAAATAAATAATAACGAACTTACAACTATATTCAAGCCGTTATCGCGCTATATTATTCCTTATTACGAAATATTTTATTTTATTTTCATCAAAAATTTAGCATCGTAAAAATATAATTGTGTCAAAAATAAAAAAAATATATTTTCACGCTATATTAATTCTTCTCAAACCCAACAATCTCAAGAAAACCTAACATTATGTTAGACACCAACACCAATCTGGTGAATCAATGCAAATTATAATTACCGTTTGTATGCGTAGCAACTATAGGGGGATTATCCAAACTATGATGAACTAAAAATTAAAAAAGCACAAATAAAGCAAAACAAAAAAAAAACATAAAAAATAAAGCCGAATTTTTTCAAACTCCATTATGACTGTATAAAAAGGTGAAATTAACGATATCTAATATAATATCAATGTGAACGTCTTCAATGTGAAGACGTTCACATTGAACAATACCTATCATATCCAAACATCCATACTATTTTGAATCATTAAACTATTCAATAATGTATTAGCTAACGTCTGTATCGTTATTTAAATCTATATATTGGATATGATCGTTAAATATGCACTGTAAAACTCAATGTTTGTAACAGTACGATCATGCTACAAAATAATTAAAAATTATTATCTTATTTCCAAAAAAGGTTTTTATAGTTAGAGTACCCGTCGACAAAAAAGTTGATGATAGATACTCTCTCCAAACTTTGGGTATCACTTCATTTGGCCGAGTCTGACACGGTTTTCCGCTGCAACTTTGTTTGGTTCCGGGGCGTTTTCCTTCTAATTTTCCCGAAGTATTTTACTCGTCAGACGGGAAAATCGGAAAACAAGTTCTGTTAGACAATATATTCTTTTAATTAAATAGCTTAAAAATGATAAGAAAATATAGGTATATATAGATATTCAGCTAATTTTTTCAGGATACTTCTACTAACAGCATCAAGAACAGCTTTTCATATTGTTTGGCGGAACTTGTTTTCCCATTTTCCTGTCTGACGGGTAAAATGTGTTGGGAAAATCTAAGGAAAACCGCTCTTGAACCAAAAAAGTAGGTTCGAATAGTCTACATGAACGTTGTAATTTAGACATAGGTATATTCAATAATTTTACCATTTTAGACGACAGTCATATTAAAGTTATAAAATTCAAGATTACGTTACAAAAAAAAATAATAACACAGAGTAAACTCCAATAATAACTATTTCTAGACTTACTGTAGGTGACTACCAGTCCTTTAAGGAAATAGGAGAGGCGTGAAAGTGCATTAGAGGTGTCAATATCATTAATTTTTCTTACGAGCATATGACAAATTTTGTTTTATTAGGAATAAAAAATAAGATAGGTCCAAATAAGTTTTGTTCCAAAATATGTTTTTCTTGATAACGATAAAATCGCAAAAGTTGGGGTTAGGGTTACACCATTTCCATTGTGTTTTAAAAAAATAAATAGTTCGTCCGCCCTTTCATTGTACATGTATGACTTCACTCACTAACTATTTTTTATATTGTCTCTTTTGCACTCAAAGAACCAGAAACTATGAAATTAGGATATTATTTTTTTTAGGTCAATAACGGAAATAATATCCGGAACTCTAATTACGATTCTAATCCTCATTTTTATATCAACGATATAATACCTGTACAATGATTCGCCGAAGTGAATATATATGGATCCATTGCATATAAAAAAGCCTCTTACTTTTGGGTTGTACCGACTTTCACCAGATGTTCGATAGGATGAAGAGATCTGACTTTTAAAAATAATAAAGACTTGATTATGGATGCCTAAGGTTATTCTAATCTAAAATATAAGATGGTTGTATGCTTAAGCGATTCATAAGATAGACTGACGAACAAATCTTAAGCACGTAAAGCAATTTAAACTAGCAGCATGAAGCTCAATCAGATAATTTAGAGCTAGTAACAGGAAACTGAATCAGAGTGGCAGGATAGGAAAGTGTATGACTCAATGAAGTAATAGTAGATTAAATACAAAAATATTGTTGGAACAGTCGTTTGCTCTGCAACAATACCAAATATATTAGGAAACTGGAGCTAAAGATACTAGAAATGGGACTAACAATAATTTCAAAAGAATTGGCATAAGAGATTTTCAGCTCTTCAGGTTTAAATACGAAGAAACACAGATGATATTAAACAAGCATTGCAATCACTAATCCATTATACCCTCACTAAAAAAGAATAATTTATAAATAATAAAGTAATCTGAATATATATTAATTAAAATTTCCGAAGAAATTAATTCTCAATATGGTGTTTTATAGCGTAAAATATACGAAGTCTAACTAAACACTTTTGTGATTTTATCACTATTAAATTTTGGAATCTGAAATCAAACTAGAGCTGGTAAAATTTGGATATTTTATATAATTTTGAAAGCTCGCAGAAAAACATACCACAACAGTTTTGTAAATATTTCCCATACTTAAATAATGTATGCAAATAATTTTTACATTTTTGAGTTAACAATCAATTATTTTATGGACATAAAGTAAATGCAATATAAATATTATTTTAATCAGCATCGTATGATAGTTTTCCTTTTGAAGTTTTTAAGCCAGTACTTACTTTCAGTTTTATTTTTGCCTCGTCCAGTTCTATAACTGGACGACACGATCCATTTATAATTAGGACAACTTGAAAAAGTGATTACAACTTTTATTATATTTGATTCTTGAATTAAATGATATTTTGTCTCCTTTGTATGAGTTTAATTGTATTTCTATATTGAAATCATGTATATTATGAATCAAAAAGCTAAGACTTTACAAAACCCGTGAAAATCATTATATTTAATTTAAATGATAGGAATCGTTTTTTATCCTCATCAACCGTACAAAGGTATTAGTGGATTTTGTGGTTTGTGTAGAGTTTGTGGACCATCATAGGCTTCATTGTCTTTTTAAAGAGTCGCTTATTATATCGACACGACTGCGGCACCATGGACAAGTACCAATCTGATGAACATAATAATTTGTCCTTATTTAATAGCATGCCCAGTGGAATACAAAACCGCGACTCAGCCAGCGAAAACGCTCGGTCAGTTACTGCTCTGCTTACTTATGATTTAATCCTTTATTGTGCATTGTTTATTTATTAAGTAATATATGTCTATCTATATTTAGTACGTACTTTGTCAAAAGACACTTCGTAACATTTTGAAAGATTAGAATACGGTTAAAATTACTTGCTAATAGATTTTTTTATCCCAATAACATGTCAATACCAATTTTTTGTTTGTATTTACACAGTAGACGTACGATAATAAATTCCTAAAATTTCATTAAATTCTTCTTCCTCAGCTTTTCCCATTTTAAGGATCGCTGTTTCTTATTTTTCTTCGCCACTCACTTCTGCATATCGTGTCTTTTTCATTTAAACCTTTCTTCTCTTAAGCCCTTTGAGATAGAAAGGTTTAAATAAAGAAAACCTTTCTGTCTCAGAAAAGTAAGGATAAGAATTTAAATAAAAAAAAAAAAAATGTCATTAAATACGTAGTATAAATTGAAGTATGGTCAATATTCTTAAACCTGTTGTTAAAAGTACATTTCTAAAGGGTCACACGAGTGCCGTCTAAGTTTTGTAAGAATCTAGCATACATTATTTGACGTCACTTGGTGCAATGATCTAGTATATAAATTTTTTGAACCTAGCGTGCAACGGGCCTGTATCTAAAGGTAATTCACACTGGTCTTAGGAACAGACTTATTTTTATATAAAAAAAAATTAATTACATTCGTGTAATTACATATCTAACTATCGATAATTTAAAGAACCAGTCAATTGATTCTGCTAGAACAAAGGATTTTTTTATAATGCAATTCAAAAATTCGCATTATTTTAGAGTCCTCGAAAATGTTAAAAAATATATAAATACGAGGGCTGATTCCTCTACTTCCTCCCTGACCCACTTACAATAAAAAAATTTATAAATCTCAAAATATCTTAACTTGTTCCACGTAGTTTTCATTAAGATTAACATATTTTCCTATCTATGGTCTTGCATTTCTAATACTAAGATGAATCAAAGAAAGGTTGTTCGAATTCTGTAAACCACGGTTTTATCAAACATAGTCAGAATTATTTGAAGAAAATCGTTTAACCAGCAAGTATTCTTTAATAGGTATCTGATTCTCTTTAATCTCTACTCCTTATTCCTAATTGACATTTCTACATCGTAGTGATGGATCCAGGACTCATCCATTATCACTAATCTTGCAAGAAAATGTTCTTTATCTTGTCTATACCTCATTAAAGATTACAACAAAATCGTTTCGAGTTTAAAACCAAGGATTTATTCACCGCTCGTCCTCGACACGATCCATTTGTGATTCTCCCGAACTAGATAGGTATTTACTGTAGAAACGTTTCTACAGGTTCAGAATTGTACTTTTCTATCGGTCTATATATAACAGGTTGTTTTTAACAATACAGGTTGTTGTAAATCATTGTTTTGATTTGGAAATGGGTAAGCGGAGGCGCAAAGATATTAACCATTTTATATGTTTATATATTTCTGAACTGTTAATTTAGACCCTTTAAAAATACCCCCTAAATATCTTAAAGGTATGTATGACGTAATTTTGTAAGTGACACGTAAGCGTAGAATAAATTGAAAACCCTTGGAAGGATATTGCAGATCTAATATTTATTACAGTTTTTGTAGTGGATCATTCAATTAAATTCATAGTGTTCTGAAGCTATTTTCTTGTGGCAGTTTTAAAGTAATTACTATTTAAATGGGAATAAGCCACAATTAAAGGTTAAAGTACGTTTATTGACGTTTCAATTTCCATTTTCCACCGGAAATCGTTCTCAAATATTAGTAAATTGTTTAATTTTATTTAATTCAATTTACTAATGTTTGTATTTTGAGAACCATTTCCGAAGTGGAAATTGAAACGTCAATAAACGTACTTTTAATTGTGGCTTATTCTCAATTAAATTGGCTCTGACATATTTCAAATAAAAATAATTTCAAATGAATGAAGTAAATATTCTTCGAACTCCAACATATTGCAAAGTACAGGACGTGTAGAAAAATAGGTAGTTCAATATTCACTAGCTACTAAATGAGATTCTCTAACCACTAATAGAATAGTAATAACACAATAAAGATTAAAAGCCACAGTATAATCCATATTGATAAACATACTATAATACATATATATTTACCTTGTAAGTGTATATTACAGTTAACACTTACTTTCAAAAATATAAGTAAAAATAATTATTAAAGTATTTCTTTAAATACCAAACATTTGCAATTAACCAAGGTTTTTCACTTTTATCCATAATATTACAGAAATATTGTTAGTAATTTCCGTTTAGCTTACCCCAATAGAAAATAAAGTCTGAAAATTAAAATTTTTATTTATTCCTTGTTATCAAATAAAACTGTTCCGACCATTATTATTTAATTGGCCTATACGGGAGTTAGTTCTAAAATATATAATTATACATACCTTCTCCATTACGATACTCTAATGTATCACAATCGCTGGGTTGCTTCTTGTTACATTCGTCGTTTGATCGCGATCTGAGAAAAACTACAGTGAGAACTATAACCGCAACCAAAATTACCACTACAGCAACAATTCCACCCGCGACAAGTTGTAGCCTGAGACCTTCTTCCTCGCCTATGTATGCTATAAACGAATTTAAATGTTAAATCAATAAAACACATGACATGTATTGTGAAAATATTAAAAAGAATCTTACCTGGATTCAATATCTGACCGGTTGTTTTGAAAATAACCGGAGAATATGCTCCCCATCCTCGTTGAGTTTTAGCTCGTACTTGTAATCCATATTCTGTTCGTTGTTGCAATCCAGTAATGGTTACAGACAGGTCTGAGATCAACAAACTGTTGTTGCTGTAGTCTATATCATTTCTTTGGAACCATCGAATCTACAAAATTGCGATGAATTAGCAAAATGCTTTAATCATTGGGAAAATTCCTAACAAGTAAAATGTCAAAGACTTTTGGCTAAAAAACTGTATTATAAAATATTTATCTATTTTAATAAATAAACACTGCCTATGGTAATTGCGGGGTCAATAACCCTTATAAATAAGTGCTGAAAGAGAAACAAATAGACATTTGCGCTCTACAGGAAACAAAAAAGAAAGGAAAAAGACAATCAAAATTAGGTGAATACATACTAATCTAAAGTGGAGTAGCAAAAGAAAACAGGGCCGAAGAAGGTTTATTAATACACCAAAGGTACCAAAATCAACTCAAAGACTGTCAATACATATCAGAGAAGATTGTAACAGCAAAGATAAAAGTGAAGAAGGAAGACCTGAAAATCATCAGAGTATATGGCCCAGAAAATAACAAGCCCCAAACAACAAGGAAAATATTTTATAACGAATTACAACAAGTAGTAGAATAACTTAAGAGAGATGATGATAATATTGGCGGATTTTAACGCTCGAATAGGCATTTAAGTAATACCCAGAATTAAACAAAAACATAACGAAAATGTTAAAAACGCAAATAGAGAACTAATGGTAAACTTCTGCACGAATAACGAACGTAGAATAAACAACACATTTTTTGAGCACAAGACCAACATAAACATACATTCAATAAGACCCATGAACAAAGATCTATGATAAATTATGTTATAACCAACAGAGATATACATCCATCAAAAATAATCGACACAAGATGCCTTAACTCAGGAGATGTAAGTAGCGACCATAGCCTAGTATTATGTAAAATAAGAATCATCATGAAATATTTCACATCCAAGAGAGTGGCGCCAACACAAACAAAATCAGAGTCGAAGCACTAAATACGGAATCCACGGAATACTTATACAGCAAAAGAATATCAGAGAAGAGTTCTGGGAATGAAATATTAGAAAACTATAACGTCGACGAAAGCTGGGAAAAACTTAAAAATAGCATAATTAACGCAGCAACAGTATCATTTGGAGAGAGGGAAGTAAAAAAGGCTAACATATCAAAAAAGAAAACCATAGTTTCATATAGCAAGTGAAGACAAAATGTGTAAAAAAAGAAAGCCTTTTTACAATACAGAACACAGCAGAAATAGAACACAACGACTATATTTGAATAAAAGTTAGACAAATAAAAAGATATCACTGGCGGAGCTTGTCAAAAGAAATGGAACACGAGTTCTACGGAACACAAAAAGAAATATGAAGAATGATCAGAGGACAAAGAATAGAGATCAACGAACCAATAAAAATGAAAACCATTCAGAAGGAAACACGGGCAGACTACTTTCGATCCCTATCTCGAACCAACAACGGAGGTGACGACAAACAAAGAAATAAATATTGAGGAGGAAGAGGTAAAGGAAACATTAAGGATATTAAAAAATAGAAAATACTAGGAGAGGACAGAATACCGAACGAACTCCTAAAGTACGAAGGACCAGATCTGACCTAACAACTAATAAAACTAATCCAAAAAATAAGAGAACAAATCAGAATTCCTCAAGAATGGTGATCAAGCATCCTAATTTATTAAACACAACACTAAAATTAACAACCAAAGTGATAACAAATAAACTGAATGAAATTATAACATTAGCAGAAGAACAATAATGTCGCGAACATCATGTACTGACGCTATATGTATAATGAGGCAAGCGCAAGAAAAATCATTAGAATACAACAAACCGGCATATTTATGTTTCGTGGACGTTAAGAAGGCATTTGATTGGGTCAAATTATTGAACGTTATCCAGTTATTGTACGCAAGAGAGATACCCTCTATTAATAATTAAAACGTTCGAAAATATCTACCAAAACAACACAATAAAAGTAAAAATAGTAAAAGAACTAACTGACCCTGTTGAAACTAGCAATGGGATACGACAGGATACCTGAATTCTCTATTGTTTAACCTAATTATGGATGAAATATTAAAAAAAGAACTAAAAGGATACCAAATGGGAGAAAAATAAGTTAAAATAATCTGCTATGCAGACGACGTAATACTACTTACTCTCTCAAAGTGAAGATGATCTACAACGTATGCTGCACCAATTTCCCCAAAAAGGACAAAATGTATGGTTATAACAGCACATTGTAAATTTTAATTGTAATGTACATAAGAGCTGGAAGGTCAGATAATAGAAGGAGTTTAAATATCTAGGCATCACATTATTTAGCTACGTAAAGCTCGAAACAGAAGTGAAAGATCAAGTGAATAGAGCAAACAGAGCTCAGCTTGACTGAATGAAACAATATGGAGAAATAATAATAACGGGAAATAAATGAAAGACAGAATTTACAAAACACAGGGAAAAAAAGTATGTTGGAAACAGCAGGACTGAAAACTCTTTGATGGCAAAATACTATTGGACATAGCTAGAAGTACATATATACGACTTATATGCAAGGTAGAGTACATCAAGGACTGGGTAAGAAATAGAAAAGTAGAATAAAACGATTATATAAGACGAATGACAACAAATAGATTAGTAGCGACGGTTTTCCAATAGGAAGAGTAGGAAGATCACGAAAATATTGGAACGAAACCTTACTGGACGCCCATTGAAAAACAGATAGTCATGTCTTTATAAAAAGAAAAAATAAATAAATACTAATTAGTTAAAAGCCGCTTGTGAAAAAATCGGAACGATAAAATATGTTACATTTTTAATTCAATTCATGGGGATATATTGACAAGTTGTGGTAAGTTTGTGATATCTGCAGTTTTTTTCTTTTAAACAATATATTCCTGTCTACAACTGAACAGCTTTCATCATATTGTGTTGGCTACATGACACACACCTATTGCATCTCATGTAAGAGTATAGTGAAGAAACCATGAAGTGGACGTGGAAGTACGATTTTTACGTGCGTCTTTTGAAAACTGACAAATATTAACGAATACAGAGAGCATACTTAATTAAGTAATCCTGTGAATCAATAAATGCAAGCAATAAAAAATCAGTAAAAATAAAATGTCTCTGGGAATTAAGAAAAGTAGAAAAAATCATAAGACCGAAAGAAATACTTAAACATTGCATAGATAGCAGTTGAAGCACTAAATGCAATATTAGTTGGTACTATTGTAAAAATTGCTATCATAAAAGAAACTAGCATGTTACAAAAATTGCCGAAATATATTGGAAAAACATACATTAAGACATAGGATAATGCTAGTACTAGGATAGAGCGTGTATCTCGTTGAATTATCTTTTTAATACGCTTGAAGGCGTTCCTCTATGCATTTGAATTAATTAAATAATTTAATCAAAGCATTTAAATGTGTATAAATATAGAATACGAATCTTACCTCATATGTTTCAACCAAATCATTCTCATTATCAGATCCATCGTTGATAGAAGGTGCATCCCATGCTAATGTAATTTCTGTGCTTTTGACAGATGTGACTCTAATATTAGTAATGCTGCTAGCTACTGAAGCTTCAGTCGTAACAACAATATCAGCATATTGAGGGGAATCCCTCATAGACATGTGCGAGACACCATTTTCTGCAAAGATCTGGAATCTGTAGGTAGTTACAGCATTCAAACCGCTAATTGTGATCCGTGTCTCGTTGAAAGTATCCTAAAAACATTAAAATTGTAACATTTTTTATATAATTGAAATATTAACTATTTCTATTCCCTTTACCTCCGTTGCTGATACGCTCATGGTCGTATTCGCAAATAGGTAGCTAAATTTTATTGAAAACTACCGAAATATGACAGAAGAATCTACCTAGGAACTTATTTAACGACGCCGGTTTGGTTAATTCTTAGTTAATCCTTTTCCGGGTTCTTTTTCATAAATTCGGTAAATATCGTCGGGGGCATGTTGTGATGTTTTTTTTTTTTCTACAATAACCTAATCCAAGGGAATTTATATTTCATCACGTTTCTAGCTAGAAAGGTATCGTTATGTTCCATGTTCGTTAGAACTTTTTACCTTCTTAGAAATAGATACAGGCTGGCCTATGATTTTTGAGTGGGAGATACCCTCACCTTTTTGTGGGTGGTTTGGTAAATTTTTGCGGAAGGAAGACCACTTCTGAGTGAGTGCTCGTTGAGTAAAGACTTACTTCTCGTGAGGCTCTTCGCTCATATTATCGTCTCTGTGTTATCGTACTGTTCTCTGTGTATTTTTCTTTCTAAGTGTGTATACACTTGTATATTTAAGTTTTTTGATCTAATATCATATTAGATTAAATATTGGTATAGAATACCTTTAATTTTACTTAACTTCAGTGTTTGATACAAGTAAAGTATAAAAGAAAGTAAATTAACTTCAGTGCAGTATAGCAGTCATCAGGAATTACTGTAAGTTACCATAATCATAATATCTCCACTTATCTGGGCGAATAATATGGTATGGTATCATATTATCTTCAATCATCTGGGCGAATCTAAGTTCATCCACCAGTAGTTGAGAGTAACTACTGATTTTTGCATTCAATTTAAAGAACATTCAATAACATTCAATATTTTCTTACGAACTTTCCATCAGCTACTAAGAAATTTCAATAAATAATAATTACGAACATTTAGTTCTCAATCATTAAATAACAGTGCGATAGATAATTAATTACGAACAAGTGCGCATTGGTTAAATTTTTATTTCTGTAACCTTTTTGTATTCTTTTAAATTTAGATTTGATTAATTTTTGTTATTTGCTATAATTGTTATACATTTTTAACCCAGTATCTCGAGATATGCCCATTAAACAGCAAAGAGAGACTTTCTTTAATCAACTTTAGTAGAATATTTTTATATAGCATTAGGCTCTCTTCGCTGATAATTGAACATGTGCATTATTATATTGTTGTATTTGTAAAGGTACTTATTACTTATATTACTGTTCATTTTTATATGTATATCACCATTTAGTAATTGATGGTGCATTTTTTATTACTTTTGTGTACATTCAGCCGCCTATATCATTGTGCTGTTGAATATATTTTTTTTTGTTTTATGTATGAATTTTATTTGTCGACTCCTAACAAGTTTCCTGATAAAATAATATCTCTAAATATTTGCTTTTTACTTTTAATTATTATTATACGTTCGACCAGAAGAAGATTAAGTTTCGTAAGTAAGTAGGTATAATACCTAATATATTTTTTATTTGTTTATATAGCGTGTTGACCAAATTTATTTAATAATTAACTGTTGGTATCTTTCCTTGGATTTGGTCTCAGAACCAAAATATCGTTCCTTATGTCTTTTCTTTTCTAAGGTTTCTTAATTTTCTCCTTAAACCCCAAAAAATTGAGTGGCGCCCTGTTCCTATCTTATCTTATCTTTGTAACTTTTACCCATCTATCTTTTTATTTAGTTCTGTACCTTTTCTCATATATCTTATCTTGTCCTATCTCTACTTATTTCCTCCGTTGAACCCATTTCCGGTTCCAAAAGCTAGCTTCGAACCCACGACTCGCTCTCCACCAACCATCTGGCTGCCGTCTGCAGTGTCTCCATTGGTGACCTTTCTATCACCATCCAAAAAAGGTTTCCGAGGTTACAAAATATAAATGGAATAAAAATATTATTATTATAAAATCTTCGAAACTAGCCGCGCAATTATTATTTATCGGGTTTTTGCATAAATAAATTTTATTGGTCCGTTCGTTAACTATGGTTTTATACGAGACGTTCTTTGATTAATAATTTAGAGATAATGGCCTCATTTCACTTTGAAAGGTAGAATCCCTTTTATCGGTAGAATAATTAACAATGTTCTAAAAGTTCTTCTATTCTGTATATTTTCCATTTGGAATAATTCCTTACCGGGTGGAAGATAACAGGAGATGAATCTCTATAATCTTGATATATACTTTTGTACTGTAGCACGATCATAACGATACGATCATAACGATCATATCGTTATGTTTTAATATGAAAATGGTCACTATTTACTTTTCCCATCAATAAGAGTAAGGTTTCGTTTGAATATTTTTTTCTAGAGAATCTAACATGTCCTATTGTTGTAAAACTACATTTTTGTTATCTTATAATTAGTTTAGTGTATTTTACTTACCATGCTTGGGTTATACTGGACTAGTCCCAAACTACAAACGTCGCATTTTATCCTGTACGCAGTGTCTGTCCTCCCACCCAGGGTTTCTGGAGGTAGCCAACTCAAAATTACAGTTGATTGATCTACGAAGCTTACAGTCAAGTTCTGTGGTGCAGACGGCGGTTCTAAAATAATAAAATGTAATTTAAATCTTGAAAATTTGTATTGAAACAATTGCATCTAAGTATCAAGTTATTATATAATTATAAGTACTTACGTGTGCATGACATATTTTTAGGGTCACTAGGTGCTCTGTAATATCCAGAAATACATCGACATTCCGTCAAGCCATAGTGAGGTCCTTGAGAAAACGCAGGACATGGAAGACATGGACCATCACCAATTTCAGCCTTATAAGTTTCTTGTTGACATTCTAAAAATAAACCATGTAAGAATAACATTTTATTAATAAGTATTAACAATTATCTTACCGTTACAGGTTTGTTTGTCCATATCAGGTTGAAAGCCAGCCTTGCACTTGCATCCACCAGTAGGTAGCGTCCATTTACCATCGCCTTTGCAGAGGTACGTTGGAGTAGCACCGACGACCTCGGCATTGCTTACGCAAGTACCAGTGGCTTGCTCAATAAGGGTGATTTCCTTGCCTGTTGGCGTTGAAGGAAATCTAGCGAAGTTTACGGTTACCTCTGGGCATACTATGTAATATATCTAAAATAATAAAAAAATAAAAAAAGGATTTGTTTTTTACGAAATATAGGAATACTATAAATATGTAGTGGAGCTATAATATTAAGTTAAAATGAGGTTTATACTGGTGAGGTACTCTCTGAAAAGATTTTTTATATATTCTTCGGTATACTTTAGTCTATAAAATATTAGACTTATATTTTAAAATATTAATCTTATATCTACTACGTGTATTAATCGGTTGCTATGTTCATTTGAACTTGTTGTGACCTCTTCTGCTCTACCATGAAAGTAAAATGTTCATACTTTCTATAGGTAGAACTTGGTTTAAGAGTATTATTACAATCTATAAATATGCTGTTTATAGAAAAATTTAGCAAAATTGCAAAAGCAATGTATGCTTTCATGGGTGGTTTCTTGTAAGGTACATTGTTTCAGGATATAATGTCGGGAATTGTTTGTTTCCGACGTCTTGTCTGCAATAGCGACAAACATTATCAAAGCTTGTTCGTATCGTTCTCCTCAGCCACTGGCGATCTTCTTCGAGTGCCATATCCTCTATATAATATAGTCGAACCAACTATGTAGACTATTGAAATTCAAAAACAGCCGATTAATGTTAATCGTCAAGAAGAGTATCTACATCTAAGCAAAATGATGTATTTGGGTAATCATTGACAGTACTTATCTCTTGGTGTAGGAGTTTTTTCGGGTGAAATCTGAGAGACATTGAGAAAGTTCCACGAATAAGATTCCAGCATAAAACTAGAACCTTAATCTTAATAGAGCAGTTAAGGAGCTATGCCATAAAAAGAGTTCAAAGAGACAAAAGAAATATTTTTTAGAAACTAGTCCGAGTTATAACATAATTTATGTATAGAAATACATACTGTTATTTCCAAGCAACGTAGTTATTTTCTTATGAGCTTTGAGGAGAATTTGTTCATCATTAGCGCCGTAGAGCATGGGATCAATATAGCAACTATTTTAAAGAGCACCACTGGCCAGGGGTATTCAGTTTGATAAATATTTGCTAGTTTCATTAAACAGCGAGTACTCTAAAAACTGGCGCTTGTAGTTCCATATGTAACTGTTTGCAGTTCGAGGCATTCATCTTTTTCCGGGATGTCACGCCAAAGTATGTTTAACAGAAATGTTTTATAAGGATTGATTTTAACCTGTCTGTAGATATTTTGTATATCCGTTGTGAAAACAAAGGAGTATTCTCTAAAGCGCAGCAAAATGTTAAAAAGTTCCGGTTAAAAGGTAGGTCCTTTGAATAGGATAACACTGAGTGAGAAACCACTAGACCCACTAATTTTTGTTGTTGAGGATTTTTCTTTAATAGACAGTGATGCGGAAGGAATTTAGTTTCTAATTTTCCATTAGTCAGAGAGAGGGCACGTTCGAGAAAAAGATATGCACTAATGAAAGACATATTGGGCTTATTTTCTAAATTAAAACATTTTTGCAGACAAGTGGAAGATTTACTTGAAAGCGACCCGAAGGTAAAATAAGACTCGTTTTTATTAAATATTTGTTCATCCAATTCCACAACGAGGGTAAATTTACTAACAAGGTCTTCTTCTTCTTAAAGTGCCTATCCGTTCCGGATGTTGGCGATCACCACGGCTATCTTTACTTTGTTTACTGCAGCGCGGAACAGTTCAGTGGTAGTCGTGTTATACCACTTTCGTAAATTTTGAAGCCAGGAAATGCGTCTTCTTCCCGGTCCTCTCTTACCATTTACCTTCCCTTGGAGAATCAGCTGGAGAAGGCCGCAACGTTCTTGATTTCTCATTACATGTCCTAGATATTCCAACTTTTTAGTTTTGACGGTCATGAGAATTTCACATTCTTTCCCCATTCTACGCAGGACCTCCACATTAGTAACTCTGTCAACCCAGGATATACGTAAGATGCGCCTATAACACCACATTTCGAAAGCTTCGAGCCGATTCATAGATGCAACAGTCTGTGTCCACGCTTCCATTCCGTAGAGCAGAACTGGGAATATGTAGCAGTTAAATAGACGGCATTTTGTTTTTAATGATATGTCTCGACTGTTGAAAATGGTTCTCATTCTAACGAATGATGCTTTTGCTTTTATTATTCCCTGTTTAATTTCTGTTGAGTGGTCCCATTGGCTATTTAAATTGGTGCCTAGATATGTCTATTGCTCGACTCTTTCGATATTCTGTTGGTTGATTGCAAGTTGAGCGTTTAGTATTGGTTTTTTACTAATTGTCATAAATTTGGTTTTCTTTATGTTAAGAGCTAGTCCGTATCTGTTGCTAACTTCTGTTATGCGATTTGTTAATATCTGTAAGTCATTCAGATTATCGGCAAAAACTATAGTGTCATATGCATATCTAATGTTATTCAACCGTTCACCGTTTATTAGTATTCCTTTCGCACAACCGTCTAAAGTTTCCTTAAATACCCATTCAGAATAAATATTGAACAACAATGGAGATAAAATACAGCCCTGTCGTACTCCACGTTCCTTACTTGTACCTTATTTTAATAAAAAAAAGGTAATATTCTTACCAAAAGACTAAGAATACCATAATTGGGTAGGAATTATTAACAAAATATTTTTCATTGCACTAAAAAAAACCGTAACCAAAAGGATTAAGAAGAGTCACAAAAAGAGCCTCAAGGCGACAGCACGCAAGATACGAGAATCGAGATCGGTGATCCAGCGACTGTAGGGATGGAGAAAACGGTTTTATCGGTTTTTTTGTCCCGGTTATAACCGGTTTTTTATTTTTAAAGTAAAAACCGGTTATTAGGTTTTTACGGTGATTAGGATTAGGTTAGGTGTTATTTTGGATCCCAATCATAATTATTATTCTCAAGTAATAGCAAACTGGGTGCATTGTAAATGTAACTTTGTAACTTATTGGATTAAAAAACAGAAAACCGCTTATTGGAAAAACCGGTTTTTTTGGCCAATTATAACCGCCAGGTTAAAGCGTGAGCAAAAAAACCGGTATAACCGAAAACCGGTGTTTTGTCAAAAACCGCCATCCCTACCAGCGAGTGCGTCGCGACACATCATATTATATACATTAGCGGGACGGACGATAACCGTCATATAGTCATGTATCTATTTATATTTTATTGTGTTAATTCAAAATAAAGTTTTTCACACCGAGTTTCACACCAGGAAAAAAAAGTACATAAAAAATAATTATTTTAATTACAATGTATAGTATTAATTTACCTTTATAGCTAGTAAAGATATGCATGCTCCCTGGTCTCTGAAGGCAAAGTATACGCCTTTTTTTGTTACTGGAATACTTTTTACTTCAGTGTTAATATTAACTTCACTATTTGAGTTGAACCTTCCTTCTCCAGCAGCTATTCGACCTAAAATAAATAATTTTAAGTTATTTTTCGATTTGAAAAAGGTTGTAGCACAGTTTTTATGGCAGATTACAACGGTCTTTTTACAGGATTGTTCGAAGTAGAAAAATTATAAATATCGATATCTTCTTGCCTCAGTTTTGTGTTCCGAAATTTATAAAAATGATTTGACAAAATTTGACTACAAACTACGACGACAAATTTTCTAATACAATATAATATAAAATGCAAATATAGTTAGTTGCCTATTTATGCTTTTCTTTTAGAGATTTTTAGTACCTGTATTGACTATGAGCTCTATTTTTGTGTTGCTGTTTTTTAAGTGTACCTTTTGAATTGTTGGATCTCTTGCATGTAGATCAATGTTGTCCCATGTCACCGAGTAAATCTGTGTAAGTTAAGGACATACTGACTAGTTGTACAAAAGCAGAGTTGGAAAAATGTGTGCTACAGTGTGTAAAAATATTATGCTTGTGATGTATTACGCATCTACTAGTATCTATATAAAATACAGACACTATAAAACATGCTGTTATTGATTGTGTTGCATATTTCACCCCATTTGAATTGAAGAGGGAACTAAAGTTTATTTAATTTATTTTATTGTTTTACCGTCAGCAAATTTAATTATTATATTCTTTTTCTGAAGGAAAAATGGGTACATTCAATTTGTTAACCTTTTGATACGCGCTCTCACCAAAGTAACTAGAACGGGCGCGCGTATGTCCGACATGCGCCTATTTATTTATAATATTTTACGCAATAATTGAAAATATCATTATTATATAATATTTATTTAAATCTTCAAAGGCTAGTCTAAAAGACTGAAAAACAGGAAATAAAGAAGTAAACAATCTCGATATTTCCGTTGTAATAAGGTATTAAAGAACTCAAACTAACTTAAATTTCAAATAAATACAAGGGTGGGACTGTAGGTGTCCGTATGTACCACATACGGCGGCCATTGGAAGGTTAAGACGTGATTTGCTTTTCAGATTTAATTCCTATTAAGGCTTACAATTTCCAAAATTTAAAACCATGGGTAACTTATTAATACTTAAGACTTTATGACCTAAAACATATATATTCATCAACCAATACGTTAAACTGGGAAACAGTCTGAAATTTACACCATCATAAGTCCATCAAGTCATAAAATCACACCATCTCTTTTAACCTAGAGACCAGTGGCGCACCTAGAATTTTCTTGGAGGGGGCTTGGTTGGTACCGAATTTTTTTTACGCTACCTCCATTTTGAGTCCTTAAAATTTGGGTTCTCTTTTAATTTAAAGTACTAAAGGTAGCAGTGCCAAAAATTTAGGTATCTATTATCCTATTTACCAACCTCCCTCTCCTACTTGTGCGCAATTGACTGTAGCACGTACCGTACCCTGAATGTGGGATGGTCGCTGTAAGGTTGACGACATTTTTTGAACACTCCCTTCTCTTATCTAGATCTTATCTCTGACGTTGGTCTGGTTGATGTTTCTCTTCTTCTTTTTTCTTTTTAATGACTGTTCGGATGTAATTGTGAACACTATTCCATCCCTCCTTACTTCTCGTCATCTTCACGATCATCTCTCTCACAGTCACAGGGTTCATACCTATTTCTCTATACATTCCGTATAGTCTATTGCATTTACCTTTG